TTTAAAAAATAAATTTAACACCGTTTTTTTAACAGTAAAGGAAGAATATTTCAAATTGGAGATTAAGTAATATCGATCAGTTAAAATAAAACGGATTGATATATTATTATTAGTTCTCTTATTGCGTTTATATTTTGTAACTCTGACTATCATTGCAAATAAAAAAAGGTTAAGTGTAAATACTAATGTCCTTATATTTCCTGAGAAATAAATGTATATCTATCATGTTTCATTTCTATTTTGTTTTCTGTTTTAAATATAATGTATATTGTGTAGATTTGTTATTTTTCGAAGGTTCTGAACTTATTGCATTTACACCAGTTCAGAACTTACAGTGGAAAAAGAACAGACCTTATGCAATAAAGTAGAAAAAGAGAAAAGGTTACAACAGAGAGAAAAGGTGAGATGGAATATCAATGCTTTGATTGGTTACATACCTCGCTCGCGCATGTGTAGTTCATTTTTATCCATGCTGACATCAAAGGTGCCGACAGAGAGTTGCGCTACTGTATATACTGTGCCGTTAGTTTCCGCCGATCACGGTCGATCGAGTGTAACGCGGGGTCTACAATAGAAGTCGTAGCGGTCGTAAAATCTTAAGTTATAAAAAATTAACCAATCACAGTCGAATATGAGAGGAATACTCAACTATGATTGGTTAATTTTTTACGACTTAAGATTTTACGATCGTTACGACTTCTATTTAGTTTTGATAAAAAAGAAACTATGTGTGTCATTGATTTATGTTCCTTATATTCTCCTCTCTTTCTCTTGCTGCTGTTTATTGATAATAAACAGCAGCAAAGCGAAAGAGAGGAAGAGGAAAAGAATCGTGTTCATACATAAAAGGAAAGGACAAAAAATACTACAAACTTAACAATTAAATGCAGTGTCAGCAACATTAATTTACACTGTTATGTTAAATTACTCTATCAACAAAATATTTAACGATTTTCAAATCAGGATGAAAATACAAGAAAAATTTCAAAATAAGTATTATTGAAACTCAGGAAATTTTGGGACGAAAAATTTGTGGCAATCCTGATTAAAGTAAAATTTATATTTTTATGATCGCTCCATGCCTTCGGCTCGATATATAGGGTGCTTTCCATTTGATGACACAGG